AGATTGCTATTTCCAAAGCCGCACAGACCACAATAGAAACCGCCATTCATTCTCTGATTGAAACTTTGAAGAACAAGGAATTTGTGTCCGCCGTCGCCCAAGTCAAAGCTTTTAGGTGAGTGGGCAGACCACACAGTGCCGAAGTACGCTCACAGATCACAGCCCAGGAACTCCCCGGGCAGTGGTGTTCACAGGTTTTAACGAAAATGTAGCTTACAGAGTCATGGTACAACTTCAGCACTCTAACCTTGTGTGTTCCCAGAACCCTGTGGCCCAACGACATCTTCGGCAGCTGTGAGGATGACCCCGTGCAGACGTTGCTACACATCTACTTCCACCACCAGACGCTAGGCCAGACGGGCAGCTTCGCCGTCATCGGCTCGAACCTGGACATGTCAGAAGCTAACTACAAACTGATGGAGCTGAACCTGGAGATCAGAGAGTCCCTGCGCACGGTGCAGGCACACCCGCTTCTAGCACAGGCCAAGTCGGTCGGCAACACAGCGAGCACTGGATTCTGAGCCGCTTCCCGTCCTCGAGAGCGGGAGTGAGCTGCAAACGATCAGGACTGTTGACCAAGCACCTTGTGTGAACCGTAGGGGGGTTCACTGGTAACTCTTTCGGCAGCACCTTCAATCGTAGTCTGCTAACGTCAGATCGTCAGAAACAAAAGCCTGAAGAAAAGTTTCCAACCGCTTGACCACTGCCGGTACCTCCACGGTAACTGTAGGAAGAAGGATTTTTTTTTTTTTAATTAACCTATGTGAAAAAAGAAAAAAGGGCTAAAAGTGATGCATACAAGTACATTACTCTGGAGAAACGAAAAAAATCCCGAGGATGTTTGCAATAATCCAAGACACTGCAGGGCGGGGAATGAGGCTGGAGTCGGGGCCGATTCATCGCAGCTGAAGACCCGCCGCCGCCGCAGCGCTGCTGGGATTCCTAGCTGTCGTCCAGAACCATGGCCATCCAGTCTGACAGACAACAGACTTCACTTGCAAAAACCATTGGGTCTGGGGTTTTGTTTTTATTTTCTCCCGGCGTACGGGAGAAGGGTTTGGGGTGTGTGTTTGTGGTTTTTTTTTTTTTTTTGGTCTGTATAAGGAAGAGTGTGTGTGGGTGTGTGTGTGTGAGTTGGGGCGGGGTGTGCGAGTGTGTGGCGGATGTCAGATGTCCGGTGACACCTTCTCAGAGCATGCCTAAAAGAGCACTGCGAGATTATTTTTGAAGAAATTTTATTTTATTAGATCTAACTCTTCATAGTGTGTAAATGTTAGAACACTTTAATAATATTTTAAAACTGGGCTTTTCCAGTGTCTCAAAAAAAAAAGAAATAATATATCTGTTAATATTATTGGACTCTGCTGCTCAGCTCTCTGATCAGTGCTTCTGTGGATATTGTTGATAACTAACCAAAGTAGATGCCTGCAGAGACTTAAAACTGTAAAGTACAGATGTACGCTGCCCGTCAGCACTCCTCATTAGACAAGTTAACTTATTTTACTCCGTAATTATAGACACTGCATAGACTAAAACCTGGATTTTTTCTTGTACATCCGTGCCACGTGCTGTTACGCCAGAGTACGAGCACAAAGCTAAAGGAGAAGTGTGGTCACTGATGGTGGACTGTGTTTTCTGCAGGCTCTGGAGGCTGCAGACTTGCAGAGAAGAGATGCAAGTGACTTGTGTGTTCATGCAGGGCTCAACTTGTTTCAGGCTCAAGGAACCCTGGAGCTATGGGGGAAAGACTGAAAAGCTTGAAGACCGGCTCCCAAAACATGCAATATTCTTCTCCACCGTCTAAGTCTGTAGCGTAACACAAACTGGATCCTCTGCCCTTTTTTAAAAAAAAAAAAAAAATAGCATTTTGTAAAGGCAATGAATGTAGTCCCACGACTCCCTGATTTGAAAGGAACACCGTGTATTTTTTATATGCATCTCTTATCCACTGTGACTTTTATTTTCAAACTGGGCTCTGACTGCAGAGTTTGGAATGTAGAAATGAATTGCTTAGCTCTGCCTTTTCCTGGGGGCGAGGACCCGGACAGAACTGCAATGATGCACTGTGCACGCCATTGGACTGCCTGGCCATAGTTCTGTTTCCTGTAAGATTCCATGACTGGTCACAGCACTCATAATCACTGTATTTTTTGACCCAGATAAAAAAAAAACAATTATTTTAATGGTGTTCTGGTACTGTAAATGGTGTCCTTTAAATTATTAATAACTTTCGGGTTGGGGGGCAGGCACAGGGTGGTGTCCAGAGACACACCACACTTCACATCCCCTCTTCCATTTCTCTCACCCTCCTTACATCCTTTTTGTTAAAAATAAAAACAAAAAAACAAGCTTTGTAGCTGTTGCTTTGTGTGGTTATTCTAAGAAAAAGAAAATAAGAAAGACGACTGTAGAGGGCCTATTACCTGCAGAGTTCTCACGTGTACTTTCACTTGAAAAAAAGCAGAAGTTAAATTGACTACCCATCTTTGAATACTTTGTATGTAACTACTCTGGTGATGTAACATGTGAAGCCACCTACAAAAATAGAAAACAGACCCATGAGGACTGTCTTCCCTACCATACCTACACTTTCCCCTCTCCTCTACCCCCAATCTTCTGCCTTGTTGCATTTACTAACAAAAGGTTAGTGCTTAATTTTAATCCCCAGTGTTTGCTACGTTCAACCCTCTTCACCAAATTGACCATCTGAAATAAGAAAGAATCCGCCCTTTTTAAACAGGGAAGCCAGGGCACAGTATCAGGATTTGGAGCTGTCTCCACTGTTGTGACCCAGAGGGTCGGGCTGTTAACCACTAGCTACACTGGCTGGAAGCATTGCTAAGGGACCTTTTAGGAAAGGTCTCCACCAGAACAGTGAGCTACTGTCTCAGCTCCTGCCCACCCTCAGGAAAAAGGCCATAGTTACTATGTGGCTTCCTCACCCAGACCCCATCTATCAAAGTGGCAGCATCACCTACACTTCAGGAGAAAGAGCTAATAGTTACTATGTGACTCCCTCTCCCACCCCCAGCTTTCAAAGTGGCCTATGGTTAACTTGGAAAAGTTAACACAGCAAACAATCCGCTCCATATGCAGAGGTGGCACTTAGGTGGCTCCTGCTGGCTTTCCACTCAGTCTCAGGTCTGATGCTCTCTAAGCTTTGGGTTGCATGCATCAACAATGTGGCACCTCAGTGCTAGGATGTTGGCATCAAAGACCGAAACGTCGTCACTTTGTTCAGTATCCGAGTGCCTACATTCTGATTGGTGCCAAACAGATCCTTGCCAGCTGCCCCTGGAAGTTGATGACAACATGAAACTAATAAATGACTTCATTGCCCACCTTAGCAGTGAGTGGATCTATCTTAGGACTCATTGCAGGTAGATTTCTTAACTTCACGCATCCCCTTGGCAGGTACTTACTAAGTACCTGTTCTGCGTATTGCACCCCACCCAAAGCATGGGAGTCGGCTGGGTTGCCTTTGCTTGGACCTGGGCCCCACTAAGCCAGAAGTCACCCATGAGCACACGTGCACGCATAAGTTTTAACCACGCAGTTCTTAACACTCGCTTTTCACCACCGCCACTTTAGTCCCTAAAAGTCCTTCCCTGTCCCCAGGTACCTGGGGCTTTCCTTTAAAAGGCAATTTATCTTCACGGTCCACTATCCATAACACACCTTTAAAATGTTTTAGTGGGGGCTTGCGAGGTGGTCAGAAGAGCACTGGCTGCCCTTGCAGAGGACCCAGGTTCAGTTCCCAGCACCCACATGGTGGCTCTCATCTGCATCTCCCATTCCAGGGAGATCTGCTACCCTCTTCTTGCCTCCTCAGGCACCAGGAATGCATGTAGTACACATCGCAAGCAGGCAAAACACACATACACATCAAGTAATAAGAAAATAACCTTTTAGTGCCTTCTCATACATATCTACACAATGGCCAGTCCCAGGCAGGGCCTGGAACGTTCCCCAGTCTGAGTTGCTAGTGTCACCTGCTGTCTCATACTTAGTGTTTAGCATCTCTGGTTTTCTCTAACACAGGATTTTTGCACATGTTGTCCTGGCAGGAAACACATCCAAACTCAACAGACTCAAAAGTTCAGCTCAGGTGGTCTAAGTCAGACAATCCTTTGTTGAGGCATTTAGCTAAGTGCAGCTTCTGCACCAGGTCGGTCCTGGTCTTGTTTGCATAAAATCACCATGAGGATGGAGGTATTTGCTGTTGGCTGGCGTACTTGTTAGCCACGCCCCCGTGAGATTCACGCCCCTGATGTGATTCAGGCTAATAGCACTCTGCCCAGACATCAGCTGGATTCATTTGGGCCCAGGTGGACCTGTCCCCTCCACACAAGGCCACTAGAGCCTCCTCAAGCTCACTTTGGACGTGGCACATTTCTGTGAATACTTGCTAGTGTACAAGATGTCAGACTAACATCCGGGTTGCGGGGGAGGGAGGCACTGCCGCTACAACACAAGTGTTTAGAAAATGGGGAGCAGTTTCCACCTGGTTCCAACTGTGAGGCTTGCATTAGACCAACATTCAACACTTGCTTCGCTAGACGCACCTGAGACTGCACGCCCCACACCATTATCTGCCAGGGGCTCTCAAGGTTTCCCAAGGAGACCTGGTTTAAATAGCACACTGCACCCCTTTCCAATTTATCATGTGCCGATTCTGTTTAATAACAGAACCTCAGTTCTGTAAACTGAAGCTGTAGATTCTTGTCTGTTCTTGTCTAGGAGGCCTTAAGAGTTGATGAGGTGCCTGTAACCTCCCTAACTCAGCCTGGTCCACTCTGCCATCAACAGACGTTAACTAAGTATAGGCGACAGGTCCCGACTTTCAGCGCACGCTCTCCTCAACCCGAGACATAAACTGGATAAAGCCTCAAACTGTTTTTGCAATACCTTTTATTTTGCAGGCTTTATCAAAGTACACTGCCTTTCATGAAATATTTTGAGAAGGGAAAAGTGGAGAGGAGACGGGGCCTGGGAGAAAGCTCTCTCTCCCGCTCCATTAGCCCCAAGCTAGCAGAACCATTTTTGGCTTTCACTAAATGATGTACTTGAAGCTGAAGGTGCTATCACAGGACCGCCGTTTGTCCTTGCATCTCCCACACAAGTCTTGACGATGGGGGCGTTTAGGGTCCACGTGGCGAAGTCTGACTGGGCAGGTGCATCTAGTTCTTTTACAACTCTGAAAAATCAGAGTGAAGAGTAGAAAGGATGAGCCCCTGTCCCCTGCTTCTGGGAGCTTCGAAGCAGGTGACAGTATAGAAAGCCGAGTACTGAGCAGTTTCAGGCACCGTAAGGTAGAGAGGTGCCTACTACCCCCTTTATTCTAAATGCAGTCTAAAATGGGTTTTTACCGAGGTTTCTCAGTGTCCACCGTAGGGGAGTTGGTTCTCCAATTACTAAAGACAAGTGCATTGACTGGACTCTCAGACATGTGGGCGCCATTGGCTCTGATTAACATTAACAGGTAAATGACATCACTTCCTTCTTTTTAAACATTATCTAGCCCCTCGGCACCGTGCTAAACTAATAGTAAGCCAGCACCACAGTAAGCTCAGCCACTACTGAGCTACGGGTGAAATTCATAAAGCTGAACGACAGCTTAGAACAGTCTTGCAGGCAACTCCCTTTGTGAGCTCTCGAGCAAGCCTGAAGCTCGATGCATGTGTTTCTTACTCGAGCTTGGCTATGTGGTTCCTACATGCATAGCATTAGGTAATAGGGTGCCATCTCAAGCTAGCAGAAAGGTATTCTGCTTTGCAGTATATTTTCCTGGACTCCAAATTGGGGGGGGGGGGGGGGGTAGGTGATCAAACCTTCTATACCGCAAACGAGGTAACAGGTTCAAAAGAGGCGGCACTATCAAGTTCTACAGGAGCAGAAGGGAAGGAACCCCCCGCCATTCCACAGTGGAGGGAATTTCTACCTACCGCCCCTAACAAAAACCAAACAAACAGAGCCTACAACCACTGGGAGCCTAGCCTCTTTTAGGACATATATTTAAAGTACACACAAAGCCCTCTTCCCAAAATGCCAATGTTTGATTTACTTGACAGGTGATATCCTCCACTCGGTACGGGTTGTAGGATTTCTGGCACACTCGGCAGAACTGTTTGAAGTACACCTGGGACAGGAAATGCAGCACATGGAGGGGAGGCTCAGCGTCCCAGCAGCAACAGGACGGCCACGCGCTGTGTCTTACCTTGCTGGTGCCCTGCACGCACCACACATAGGCGCTCTCCCACCGGATATTGCAGTCCTTGCAGTGATAGTAGCCATACTTCTGCTCTAAGAACTGGACGGGAGGACAGCAGACTTTAACCACGTGACGCCCGAGTGACCCTTTCAGAGCCTGGGACAGATTCTACTCGATACTTAAAACGACCAAATTTCCTGCTAGATCATGGTCGGGGGGACTGAAGGTTAGGTGTAGGCCAACCTCTAAATTAATCAGGTGAGCTAATAGCTCAATCAAACAGATACGCAGACCAAGAGCAAACAAACAGCTTATAGACCAGACTCATTGGGTCGGCTGACACATTGTCTTTTCCCCCCCAGACAAGGGAAAGGCCACGTATCTAGTGCTGCCTGAGCTCAGGATTCTTAGGCCTCTCTCGTGGGACGACACATGACCTTGGGAAACGCACAGATGCAAAGTTATTCTCTAGGCTGAAAGAGAAAAGGCGCTTCCAAACTTTCTCAGGTGTTCAGCATTAAATTCTCCACGAGCTAGTTAAGTTTCCCAATAAGTCCTGTGATTACATTTAGTACAAGCTAAGCAGTATCTGCACCTGATTCTCTAACTTCCTATCTTCCTTCTTGTGACAAACAAGCTGGGAAAAAGTGTCCTCTGTCTGTCTGTCATCCCCACCCCCATTAGGCCTTAGGACGGGTAGGCGCACCCTAAGGCAATTTACAGGTTAGCAAATACCACAGGGGGCTGTAAAAGGCTGAAAATTTTTTGCCTAGATCACATCCGGCTGTGAATGGCAGTGGCCAAATGCTTTTCTCCCTCTACCTCAAACACAAAACACAGTCTTGAGATAACAGGGATAGAATAAGGACTTCCTGAGTCCTTTCATCTCTTTCCTTGGGGTTACAACTGGCTTCTTCCCCCGCCCCTGCCCCTGCCCCCACCCCCACCCGTTTGTCTAGCCTAGGCCAACAACTCAGGACTGCCCAAAGGCTTAGCAGTGCTGAGTGAATGGGGAGCTTTTTAAAGCTGGGCAAGTTTGGGAGAGAGAAGCCTCAGTTGACAGCTTCAGAAACAGAAGGAAGAATCTGGTAGGATCCGGCTAAGCCACTGAGACAGTTTCCCACAACTGGTGGGAAAATAAGAAACGGGGTCTTGGGAGTTGATTCTCCCGCAATAAAGTTCACTAAACGGTCCAGACTCCACGGGGCCTTATTTACTGTGTGCATGTGAGCTGAATAAAATAATTACACTGGCTTTCCCCAGAACAGACTGCCATTTGGTTGTATTGTGTAAACACCTCCCTCTGCAATAACAGTCAGCAATGGCAAAATCCTGTTTACCTCGGGGCTGGAGAGTTAGATCAGCTGCTAAAAGCACGCTCTGCTCTTCTAGAGGACTCTACTCAGTTCCTAGCACCCATATGGCGGCTTCCAACCATCTGTAAAACTCCAGGCCTAGGGCATCCCTCCTTCTGCTCCCACCCCTCCACCACCACCAAGCGCTCAATTGAGACATAAACAAAAAACGCAGGCAAAACACCCATACACATAATAAACAAATGAACAACAAATGAATAAATAAATAAATGAATAAAAGCATACACACTGACATTGAAGAATGCTATGCCGCCATGCATCCCCCCCAGGGCCTCCCGAAGGAGAGCCTCAACATCTGGGGCCCATCAAGCCTCACCTGGAAGCGCAGGTGCTCCTTGGCCTGCTCGGTGCTCTGCGGGGAGGCCCCGTCTCTCACGGTGGCCGGGTCACCAGGGTCCTGAGTCGCCTCTGGGGCAGGACGCAGCTCCTGATTCTCGGGCTCAGGCTGCGAGGTCTCCCTACTGTCCGGGTCCTCCCGCAGTGGCTGCTCCTGCTCGGCCTGCCCTTCATCCTGGACGTCGCCCTCCTTGGAGCACGGCTTGGGGACTGCTTTTCTCACCGCCACCTCTCCCTTTCCCAGCTGGGGTTCCCGGGTCTCCGCCGGTGCCGGCCTCTGCTTTCCGTCGCTGGGCTTCTGCTCGCCCGCCGCGACCTCCATCGAGGAGGAGAGGCCACAGAAGGCCACCGGTGAGTACACGGCGACAGTGCGCCAGGAGCGTGGGGACCTCCGGGCGCCGGCGGGGCTGCAGGGTTGGCGGGAACCGGACCGGACCTCTGGGCTATGTCGGCGCTGTCCAAGCTGCAGCGTGTGGCGCCCGAGCGAGCACTGCACCGAGGCGTCGCGGCGCGGATTCACCTGCACCACAGCATCGCGGCTGCAGACCGGCCGGGGACCCGCCCGCGACAACAGGGCCATGAGCTGCACCCGCCGGTAGCTGTCGAAGTACTCGGCGGCGGTGAGCTGCCCACAGCCGGGAAAGAAGGAAGGGGGCGCAGGCCGGTAACCCCCGGCACGGAACCGCCAACCTTCTTGGGCCTTGTCGACTTGCGGGTGGGGATGCGGGCAGGAATGGGGCATGCTCGCCGGGAACATGTGTGCATCCCGCGCCTCGCCCGCCCAGGCAGCCATCAGCGCGGTCCAGCTACCCACCACGCCCCCACTAAATAGGCAGCGGCACCGGCGGGAGCAGCCCTAAACCCTACCACTTCTAGCCGCGCGGAGCGAAACCCTCCCCAGGCTTTCCCTGCACTGGTGGGCGGCGACCCCCTCGAGGATGCGGAAAGATGGTTTTCCTTGCTACACACCGGGGCAATTTGTAGGGAACTCGCCGAGGTGAGAATTCCACCCGAGAATCATCACCGGAATTAGCGGAGCCAGGTGGCCCCATGCCCTCATCGCTCCAGGTGTCTGCCATCAGGAAGGCGAGGCAAGCCTGGTATCTGATTAGGGAGCAAAATACCAAGGTTAGGGACCTGCTTTGAGCTCTTTATCTATCGCCTCAGTTCACTTAGCTCAGAGCGGTGGAGCAGTGTCCACCCACAAACCTTTCAAGAAGGGACACACCTTAGGAGCCTGTAGCTATCACCCTTCCCCAGGGGTGAATGGAGGTACCGGTTTTCTCTCCTCCGGGGTGAGGCCTACAAATTTTCCTAAGGATAAATGGATCTGAGATGCATTCACACAAATGCAGGAAATGGGTGAAAGAAAATGCCTGCATCCTTGTCAAACGCTGGTGGGCATTAACAATAAATAAATTCTAGATTAAGTAGCCAGATACGTGAATGTGATTTTCTCTGGTTTGATAGCGGCTGGACAATGTAATGCTACATTGCGGTTTCATTTACCTGTTTTGGACTTGTCTCAATACAGGCCAGTATTGAATGTCAGCAGATGTCTGTAAGTTGAGCAAACACGTGTTTTTGTTTTACACTTTTACTCATATATGCACTAGACATCCACATTTCCAGCCCCCTTTTCCTAATACAGTGCTTATCTGTAGCAACAGCCCTGGAAATGGCAAGAACCAAACAGCACACTTAACCAGCGGAGGTGCGCGTTAGCTGACCCAGGTGCAAGCAATCCTGGAACACTGGTGACTTATAAAAACACATGATTAATACTGAGATACAACGTTACAGTGGGACCACCAAATCTGTTACACGGAATGTGAATCCATTGTTATCCTGGATGTGGCCCATATGAGCTACCACAGGGCATAAATAGGAAGTGATAATCCAGCCGCATGGAGGCTCCTGTGCCCCTCTCTCCACATTCAGAGGGAGGTCTGAGTAGTTTCCACCATTGCTAAGTCCTCTGCTCCCACTGTGCCGTAGGAGGTGTCTGCCATTTCCTCTTCTTTCAGTTTCTTGTAAGAAATATCTGTGTCCTCATCTTCATCCAGGGGATCTCGCTTATGCAGTATCTCAGTTCCATACATTTTGTATAGTAAAACCAAAACCCCTGCCTCTGCAGACTGGAAGAGGGCGTAGAGCAGGGGGAACATGTACATACTTCCTATGAAGCGTGGCGGGAAGGCCAGTTTGAGGATGGCCGTACAGAGCTGCACATTCTGACTCCCCGTTTCCAGACAGACAGTCCTCTTGCAGTTGGGGGGAAGGTGGAAGAGAGTAGCTAAGCCGTAGCCCGAGGCATAGCCTGCCAGGGGCATAAAAATGGCGACCACATAAACAGCTGCCGGGATACTTGCCAGCAGTTCGGGTCCCAACATGGTGCCAGTCATTATGAAGAGGACTACCAGGGTCACTAGCAGAGACCACAGGGAAACCTAGAAGAGACAGTAGATAGGCAAACCATCAGCCATGACATCATCGAGGAGGAATTCAGGCAAGGGGATGGGACCTCCTGCACAGAGTATGTCCAAAGCTGGGACTCCACATTAAACAGAATTGCTCTGGGGCTTGGCCTGATGTCCATTGGCATTTACCTTCTTTGAGCTCTGGCAGTGGCCTTGGAGGGAGCGATATAAAGAACAGACTACTCCTTCTAAAATGTCTTTCAAATGATAAACTAGTGATGAGGGGAGGGTTACTGTTTCTAGGCAGACTGTCCCTCAGCCTCTTAGCCTAGGTCATATGACTTTTAATGCGTTTAATTTACTGGCATGCATGCCTTTAAAATGGAGCAGCTAGAATTGAACCCAAGAACCTAGTTACAGACTGAGGACTAGGCTGGACAACTTAATCTTTACCTCTCCTGAACCCTGTGCTTTCCACGTGAAATTCGTTCTTATTTTACATGACATAAAAGGCTGTTAAGTTTACAATAAAAATTAACTTAGTTTAGGATATTTTTAACTTTCAAAGTTCCAAAAATGACTGCCCATACCATCGATACTAATAATTGCTCATTGATATCAATGAAGAAATTATCAACTCATTATATTAGGGAACAATGTAGGTAAAGATATGGTGAATTCCTTATAAATCTGCAACTCTACTCTTGGAATTGTCCATGAAAAGAATCCCCTAAGTTTCTAACGATTCTTAGGAAGTATTGCAATAGGGAGGTTTCAGGAACACCGCTATTGGTTGGGTGAAGCGCCCTCTCACTGTTCTGATTGGTACATTTCCTCATTCAAGTAAAAGAGGAAGCACAGAAACGAGGAAGAAATCTAAAGATGTCCCTAGTCTCCTGGAGATAGGTAGTGAAGCTGTGCTTTCCCATGAGGTGTGAGGGCACTAGCGATCCCAAGAAAGCTGAAGTAAATTCCGCCTCTCTGAGAAAGCAGATGAGAGATGAAATCCTGCTGAAGCCTCTGGGATCGACACGGACTTGATGCTCTTTTGAAAATATTTAAAACTGAACAGGCGGTGCTGGTATACCCCTTTAATCCCAGCAATTGGGAGGCAGAGGTAGGTGGATTTCTGAGTTCAAGACTAGCCTGGACTACAGAGTGAGCTCCAGGACAGCCAGGGCTACACAGAAAAATCCTGTCTTAAGGGAAAAAAAAATTTTTAATTGATCTAGGCTGATCAAAAATTCTACTCTAAAAGATATTGAAATATTTTCCTAAGGCATATAAAAATACATATACAATTTTCAGTGACCTATTACAAATCAACTTTTTAATTAATTTACAATGTGTACCATTTAAAAAGCACTGACAGGAATACCATTTCTTCATCTGAGGATTCTACCTACAAAGTTCCTTGGAGCAATTTAAAATTTAAAAAAAGAAGAAAGAAAAGATGAAAAAGTCCTGTGGGAGGACACTGGGAACGAATGCTCATTTAAGTGTTTGCAAGAGCTTAGTGATCACATGAGCCCCATCTTTCTTGTGAGACCAACCCGCCATAATTGCCTTATTTAATACATTTCTTCTATTTTTAGAGCTTGAGTTCCTCGTTTTGCTCCTGGAATTCCTTAACTTTCATGGTAATTGCCATTGAGTTAATAATAAAACAGTAGCTGAATGGTTGAGCTAACTAAATGCATCTCAAGACCATCTATGGAGAGATGCTGTGTACGTGTATACGTGTGTGTGTGTGTGTGTACGTGTGTGTGTGTGTGTGTGTGTGTAGGTGTTTATTATACTCTATGTTGGCTACTCATAAGATTTCTTGGAGCTAGATCTCTGTGCAGAACAGAATGCTCTTTTTCTTTTACTAGGGAAAGTTGACTTCTCTGTATAAGTAGAAAATAAGTCAATAAAAATAAAATTTTCTATATTCTGAAGTCTCCATAATTGTAACACTGAAATGGTTCTTCCCCCCCCCCCCCTGTCTAAAGAAACTTGTCTCTGCACTCTAGTTAGCTGTGTATTTTAGTTAGCTTACTTCTGAAAAATGAATATTTTGGTTTTGTTTTCATCTTCTTTCACTTTTCAAAAGAATTAAAATTAATTAAAATTTTCTGGTCAACTATTGAAAGTATATGTTGATAAAATATCCATTTTTAAAATAAAGCACTGTTAGAAATATTCCCTAGTGATAGTAGTTCCTCATCATTTCATTAACTTGAAAAGCCATATAAAATAATGTGTCCGAAAAGATAAAAGATGTGCAGGTTTAGCTGTGACAATAGAATCCACACTACCCAGAACCCAGTTTTGTTCTGTGTTTTGAGACCAACATTCTGTGTCTTCTGTTATATTGACCCAATGTCTTGCTAACTTTGACTTTTTTAATTATGTTATTTAAGGGTGCCTGTTTCAGGTTGTGTTTCCTCAGCATTAGAGTTCCACTGAAAATATTCTAATGCATTATAAAATATTTTGAATAATTTTATCCAATCTGCTCTGGATTTTAGTCCTATTCAGTTAGTGGGAAGTGCTTGCCATTTTGTTGTTGTTTTGTTTGTTTTGAGACAGGTTCTCATTATGTAGCTCTGGCTGTCCTGGATGTCATCCTGTAGACCAGGCTGGCCTTGAACTCACAAAGATCTGCCTGCTTCTGCCTCCCAAGCACCTGGATTAAAGGCATGCGCCACTGTGTCCTGCAGTGCTCGCCATTTGATTGCACTGCGTCTCCATGAGTGTATCACCACTAAGTGCATCTCTTACACTATTGTTAATTTTCAGATGTGGTAGAGAAATCGTTCTCAGCCTTCCTAATGCTGTGACCCTTTAATACAGTTCCTCATCTTGTGGTGATCCCCAACCATAAAATCATTCTACTGTTACTGTAATTGTAACTGTGCTACTATTATGAATCGTAATGTAAATATTTTTGGAGCTAGAGAGTTAGCCAAGGGATCACAACCCACAGGTTGAGAAACAATAAGGGATTGAGCCAGGCTCTTGCTTTGCAACCCAGAATGGTTTCAAATTCCAGACCCTACTGTGTCAGTCTCTGAGTGCTGGGATTACAGTCTGCACCCTTCTTCCCAACTTTAGCTGGGACTTAATTAGAACTATTATTCCACTGAGGTTTGTCATTAATTAGGCTTGTCGTATAAACTTGTAAAGTGTGTGCCTAAAAGTCCTTTGTTCCCTTCCCTGCTGTCCAAACCTCCTAGCGTGACAACTCCTCTTCAGAGACCAGACTCTTGGTAGGTGCCTGGCAGGGAAGAGAGACCTTACCTTCACGATGTAGTCGGCCACCCGATTGTATTTGTACCGAATGAAGGCGCCCAGCCCAATAGGAATGAGCGTGCTGCAGAGAGTCAGGGTGACTGCCCCTAGCGGGAGCAGCTGCACCAGAGGGGTATTGATCCAAGCCCGGCTGTAGATCCAGAGGCAGAGGGGCATCAACACCAGGGCCAGAAGCGTGGAGGAAATGGTCATGATGATGCTGCAAAAAGGTGTGAACAGAGTCAGAAAGGGCTCTGAGCCAGAAGACCAGCCTCGTCTTTCCTTACCTGTCATAGAGGGAAAGGAAGAAGGGGGCGCTGTAAGTCTCAGGGCTGAAGTCTGCAGAGAGTCTATTTTATCCTGCTGTGATAGAAACGGAAATCCCAGCCAAGACAATGACCTAGGACCCAGGATGGCTGCCCTAAACCTCATAAAGCCTGGAAACTGATTGATTCTGAGGACACGAAACCTTTTATTTTAATCCTACCAAATACCTTGAGACGCTGACACTGGTGGATGCTACTTGCTGGGTTAAGCTCAGTTAGGTGGCACTCCTTAAGAGATAGATGACTTTCTTTATGGGACTACAGTCCTGACTGGCTTTTTGCATTCCGTTGAGTTCTAGCTTCAGACTTCCCTCTTCTCTTTGCCTTCTAGTTACTAGAGACACAGTTACTAGAGGAGCCTGATCCTCCGGGAAGGGGCTAT